GTTGGCACTGCGTGTCACCTGAGCCTAGTTCAATGCTGTTCTGTAGGGAAGAAATGGAACAAGGGGAACAAAACATCCTTTTTGGCCTCTTCTTTGCACTGTTGCAGTGAGTGAGTAAAAGCTTGGTGATTACTTACAGTTTGTCTCGTCCTCCTTGACCCTAAACGCCTGGCAGACTCAACAGAGCCATCTTGCTTTGATTAATATGGCTCCCATCACCTATATTAAAACTCCATTGTATTCCACACAAGGCCTGTCATTACATTTCATCTGCTTGTGTTTTTATGCTCCTTTTCAACACTGCTTTCTTTGCATTTTAAACTGTCCAATCAAAATCACTACAGTGTCTGAATACATCATGCAGTTATTTGTCTGTGACCCTGCACATTCTGTTCTTTCTCCCCTTGTCTGCTTGGTGAACTCCTATTTATCTGTTTAAACCCGCTCACATTTTACCTCCATGTGAAATATTCATGATCTCTTTCCAGCCCTAAGTTTTATGCCCTCCATGACCTCTATACCTTATACATCCTTCAGTCTTGCACTTCTCATACTCCATGATAGTTATTTGCTTATGTATTTATGATTTTTTTCTCCACAACTGGATCAAATACTTCTTGAGATAAATGTATTTTAAATTATTTTTATATTAATGACTCTTAATGCAGTATGTACATGTAGAAAATACTCTAGAACTGAATACTTTGCTGAACTGAATATATATATATACTTCGTGTGTTTTTCCAGATAGTCTTCTGTTTGAAAGAAGTCAGTTTTGAAAGCATTTCTGACTATGAGATACATTTTTGCCAAAATATTTCTAGTAAATATGAGAACTTTGGGGGGTATAGATGAGGTCTTTGAGTGCTCTTGCCATTTTTAAAATTTGCCATAAAGTTCATTTAATAATGAGCCTTGAGAAGGCAAGCTATAAAATATGTGGAAATCCTGACACTTAAGAACATTCTATACCATTTGATTAGAGCTTTTATGCTGCATAGATTTCCTGTCAACACTGAGGTTTTAAGAATAAAGTTTTTCAGAGTGCAAATGGATTTCCTTTTCCTCTACAATGTATGTGACTTTCTTAAAATTACAGGATATTTTCATACATATTAGTTCATATGTGTACGTTAGTCATTTTAACTTTTTCTCAAGAGTACTGAATTCATGCTAGTAATAAAACACTCTGTTAATTTGATGTTTTTACTAAAGATCTTAGAATATATATCTTAAGAATCAGACTATCTTTCTTTTATACCTGTGAGTTGGTGTATATCAGTTGGAACTTTCAAAGTAATAACCTCTAATTCAACAAGTTTATCTGCTTATCAAT